TGTTTATGCGAAGGAGAAAAAAATGAATTTTTTCTTTTATTTTTTTAATTAAGTTCTAGTGTCAGGAAGATCCACCCTCATTAACCCATAACTAATTGAAAAAAACAAAACACTTTTGGTCCCTAATGTTTATGACAAAAATACTTTTGGTCCCTCTTATTTTCAAGAAATACTTTTTGTCCCTCGATTTATTGCTTTATCACACATTTGGTCCCCACTGTTAATGAGTTTTGGTAGTTAACTAAACATGGCATGTGCTCATGTCAAATTAGAGCAAACCCATGGAGAGATCAATGTATGTAGATATGTATATGTGGTACCAAGAAATACTCAAAATTGAACCAAAAATCTTTACAGCACACAAAATCCCTTTTTCGCTTAAAAGTTAGAATATTTGATTCACAAATCTTTACCAATACAAAAAACATATATTTTTTTATCAGCCCACAAAATAGTATATAAAATCCTAACAAATCAGGATGATAATGAAATATAGTGTTGGAAAAAAAAATATAATTAATTATAAAAAAGAGAAAAAAAAAAAACCCAAGTCAGCTTATGCCTTCTCTTCTCCGATGGCTTATGCCTTCTCTAGTTCAAGCACACCAATCATTTGTGCCTTCCAAATAACGAAATCGGTTCTCGAGCAATTGTGCAATTTGGGTGCATCGAGCGGACTCTTTTCTCTCTTCGACTCTCCAATTGTGCAATTTGGGTGCCCTTGAAATCTGATGTTGGAGTATGTCTCTTAAGATGGTGGCAACAACAGTCGGCGTCATCGGCCGGAGTATTCAATTTCAATTTAATGAGGAAGGGGCGAATGAAGCTGCTACAAATCGACAACAATGGGCGCCTTTGTTGTTCTCGCCGTGGGACGATGCGTTGGAGATGGAAGGCTGCAATTTCACCATTAAGGAAGTGTATGGGGCTGAAATCAACCGACGAGTGGAGAAGGAAGTGAGAGGAAATTATTGTCGATTTGGTAAAGAAAAAAGAAGAACAAGAGGTAGGCAAAAAGAAGAACATGAGAGAGGAGAGAGGAAGGGGAACATGTGAGAGGAGAGAGGAAGGGGTTTCCTATTTAATTAATTAAAGTTTGAGGACAAATAAGTAAATGAACATGAAAAGTAACGGTGTTAGTATTGCAGACGTTGACCGCAAATCACAAGGGTCATTTTGTTACGTTTTGTAGTTGAGGGGGGTGTTTGTGACAAGCCCTATAGTTTAGGGGTGCAAACTGTAGTTTCCCCCGAAAAAATATTTTCTAGTGACAAAGATAAATAATCGTTACAAAAGTGATAATATTGTCACAAAAACTTGTTATTCTTTTGTGACAAATTTACATATATTACAATAACTTAATGGAATTGCCTTAGATAGTTATTAACTATTCAAATATACAAATACATTTTAGAATGCTGTTAATTTTTAGAATGTTACAACTTACAAATCAATTGACTTAATTTTGTTACAAAATGTTTTTTTAAGAATGTTGTTAATTTTATGATGATCAATTAATTGTTAATAAAAATAGTTCTACCAAAAACATTTTTTATTTTATTATGTTATCATATATACTTAACTACATAGTCTAAAATATATGAACGTCATAAAAAATATATTTGAACTATATTTGTTATTATTAAATATTAGTCTAAAATAAAGTGATATTAAGTTGCCATTATCATAACACGTTTTTTTGTGTTGAATATTACCAAAATAATGTGATATTAAGTTGCCATTGTGTTTTATTTTTTCCTTTTTCTTATTTACCCTATTCTCCCTTCTATTTTCTTTATTTCACTTATCTCTCTCTCTCTCCCTGTCTCTTTCTCTCATATCGATATTAGACAGCAATGACCGGAGCGATGCAGGATTCCTTTCTCTCGCCTCAACCATTGGCATCGTCGGCCTTTGTTTGTGACCTTTGCCGCCGCCGAACCTTCTATTATCGTAGGTAAGGCCTCTTTTTTGTTTTTCCTATGTCCAATCGCATATTAGGGCTTTTGCGATTCCTCACTCTAGATGTCATTCTCTCGCCTCAACCATCACCGTTGTTGGCCTTCGTTTGTGCCATTCGAAGGCGCCGAGCCTTCTATTGTCTTAGGTAAGGTCTGATCTCTATCTTGTTTTCCCTTTCCCCATCTTCAATCGCATTTTAGGGCTTTTGCTAAAAATACCCTAAACTGGATTTGGTTCATAAAATTAAATTGATTTTTTTTAAATTAATTAAGGATTATGAAACTTTTAGTTTAGGGTATACAGTCATTTAGTCATGAATAATAGAAATATAATACACGCGGAAACGGGTTATGATTAAGTTAGCATCTGAGGTTAGTAATCCATATTAATTACTTGTATAATTGAGAGAATTGGGGGATCGATAATCACTTAGGGGAAGATAAAATCCTAGGCCTTTTTAATTTGATTAATTGTCGTGTTATTTTCTTTTACTTGCCATTATTTGTTTTTTATTAATTTAGTTTAATTTAGTAATTTTGTCCAAATTAGACTGTGTGGTAGTGGACTTGAACATAATTGTGAGAATTTAGCGCTTATGATTAGACAATTGAATATTTTTCGTGGGATTGATATTCGGACTTAATTGTCCACTATATTACTTGTACGATACGTGCATTTGTGTGTATGTCAATCACCAACAATGCTTATGAACTTTGAGCCGGGCCGATCTTAGGGACCGGGAGGCCTAATATGTGAATCGGGATTGATGCATTTTTTAGTTTTTTTTCTACTAAAATTAGTCTATATAAAAATATTTTAATATGATATTTTCCTTTATCGGAGGTTGATTATTATGGATGGGGGTGTTAGGATATATTATTTAATATATTATTTTAATTAATTGTTTAGTTAATATTTTATTATTAATTAATTAGATTAGTATATTTATAATATATATAAGGTCGTGTGTTTAGGTTTAGGATATATATTAAGTATTTAATTAGTATAGGTAATTATGTTTCTTAGTTAGATTAGGATTCTAGGGTTTATTCTCTTTAAATAGTCGTATTGTGCTAGGGTTTTTAAATAATGAAGAGAAAAATATTAAAGAATAGATCTTATGTTTCGTAGGAAATATTTATGATACACAAGAGATCGCATCAATTGGTATCAGAGCGAAGTTGCGATTAACACCAACGCTTCGTTAGCAAGGCAGCGATTTGTTGATTCGTTAGCAAGGCAGCGATTACATCAAAGCTACGCTGGAGCAAAGTGGAGATCACATCAAAACTTTGTGAAAATCATGATGTCAGAAACAAGACGGTTGGAGCGATTGGAAAAACCCGTAGAGAAATTACGGATTACTCTTTCAGAAATTGCTCGAACAAAGTCAAGGACGACGTCAACGCCTCCTGCGCCGCGCGATCTTGAATTTATTTAATGAAAAAAAATCATTAAAAAAAAGTTACTGTCAGTGATTGGCGGTCAATAACGGTTGACCAACGGTCTTCGACGGCGGCTGACCGGCGGTCTCCAACGGTGGCTGTTAAAAGTGAAATAAGGGTCAAAATTGATTAATTGGTGAAATTGGGGTAAAATTGGGTTGTAAATCATGAAATTTGAGTTAAATTAGGATTTCAAGGAATTGAAGATAATTATGATATATATAAAAAGGTTTTACTTATTTGCTAATAAGTTTGAATGAACTGGATTTATTTGAAAGTCAAAAAAGTTGGATGTCATTTTTTTAATTAAGTACCTTAATCATGAACTTATTTGCTATTTGTCCATACTTGTACCAACTTACCACCTCGGAACCAGTTGTGCTACACCTAGACCTGACCACTGGTTCGGTTAGAACCGGAACCGGAACCAAAACGGGGTCAACGGTTTTAGAACCGAACTGGAACCGGTTTGACCGGAACTGGAATCGGAACCGAAAAAACCGGTTCGGTTCCGGTTCCTCATTTTTTGAGCCGGGAACCGACGGTTAGAACCGCGATTCTAACCGTTTGAACCGATTTTTATAAAATACTAAAAACAAATAAATAATAATTTCCTCTCTCTCTCTCTCTCTCTCTCTCTCTCTCTCTCTCTCTCT